AACTGAACTCCAGATATTTACAAAGGGCTTTACTGTACAGCAGTGGCATACTGCTTAGTGGTTAACGACACCAGCACTAGAGTCAGACTGCCTGGTCCAAATCCTAGCTCTTCTATTTGTCACCTACACAACTCTCATCAATTACTATCCTTTCCATTGCACTAAAACCAAACTTTTTGACTCAGGGAAGATTAAAATGAAGATAAACTCACTTGAGTGATCTGACTATATTTTCATTATTTCTAGTATCTGGTATGGGTTCTCTGACCCAAGAAAGTTGGCCAGGCGCAGTGGCTCACGCCTGTAATCCCAGCACTTTGGGAGGCCAAGGCGGGAGGATACTTGAGGTTGGGAGTCCGAAGCCAGTCTGGCCATCATGGTGAAACCTTGTCTCTACTAAAAATACAAAAATTAGCCAGGCCTGGTGGCGTGCATGTGAAGTCCCAACTACTCAAGAGGCTGAGGCAAGAGAATCGTTTGAACCCAGGAGGCAGAGGTTGCAGTGAGCCCAGATTGCGCCATTGCACTCCAGCCTGGACGACAGAGGGAGACTGTCTCAAATTAAAAAAAAAAGTTTCTTTCCAACATTTTACATTTCTGTTTAATCCTCAAATAGGCTAGAAAGCTCATTAGGAACTCTATGGATAACTCTGCTAGAACCAGTGTGGGCACATGCCCTATCCAGCAGGTTGCGTGATTAGATACACAGAGCAACAAATAATTACTTAATATAATTACCTGGGTTAGTATATCTATGAGATAAGAAATTAGTCTTCGATGTTATAAACGTTCATTTCACTCCTTCCATTCACAAACATATAACCCTCTCATCTTACTCATATCTAGGCTCTTCTCCATTCATTCATTCATTATTTTTATTTTTTTATTTTGAGACGAAGTCTCGCTCTGTCAGCCAGGCTGGAATGCAGTGGTGCAATCTCAGCTCACTGCAACCTCCACCTCCTGGATTCAAGTGATTCTCCTGCCTCAGCCTCCCAAGTAGCTGGGATTACAGGCACGCACCACCATGCCCAGCTAATTTTTGTATTTTTAGTAGACACGGGGTTTCACCATGTTGGTCAGGCTCCTGACCTTGTGATCTGTCCGCCTCGGCCTCCCAAAGTGCTGGGATTAGAGGCATGAGCCACCGTGCCCAGCCCTCATTGATTATTTCTTACAGGAGTCAAGACCATCTTTCCAAGGCCGGGCGCGGTGGCTCAAGCCTGTAATCCCAGCACTTTGGGAGGCCGAGACGGGCGGATCACGAGGTGAGGAGATCGAGACCATCCTGGCTAACACGGTGAAACCCCGTCTCTACTAAAAATACAAAAAACTAGCCAGGCGCGGTGGCGGGCGCCTGTAGTCCCAGCTACTCGGGAGGCTGAGGCAGGAGAATGGCGTAAACCCGGGAGGCGGAGCTTGCAGTGAGCTGAGATCCGGCCACTGCACTCCAGCCTGGGCGACAGAGCCAGACTCCGTCTCAAAAAAAAAAAAAAAAAAAAAAAACCATCTTTCCCAAGCATGCTTTTGATTTAGTCAACTTCACTTCTATGCTATGGTGCCTCCATAGCCTGTTAGAGCTCATCAAAACTCAATCTATTTAAGCAGAAAATGCAAAAATTTAAAAGAGATATTTAAAAATAAATAAATAAAATCCAACATGGATTCAGTGTCCTTCATCAATTTACTAAAGTTCCCATCCCCTACTCTACCTGACTATATGATTATCATCATTATTATTTTCTGAATTCCACCTCTAAAAATAAATGTGATCTGAGTCACACTGTTCCCAAAAATCTTGTTTTAGTGCTTCAATTAAAAGACTACTGCAACTGTTAGTTTGGAACAGAACATACAAAGATTTGCACAGAGAAAATGTTGCCAAAGTTCTGGCTTTTCACCTGCTCTACTGTTGGGTGTCACATTCATGACATTTCGCCCCCAAATTTGGTAGGAGGGCATGAATATCCATTTCATGGTAGAAATGGCAACATCCTTTTGTCTTCAGCCTCCTCTCTCCATATGTTAGGAAACATATCATGCTGCTGTCAACTTTGGATCATAAGTCTGAAGGGCTCATGGGGAGAAACTGTTGAAAATCTTTTCATTTTTTAAGTATCATTTATTTCCTGAGTAGAGCTGAACTCTGCCCAGGAGTCCTTTTTCTCGTCCTTTTGCAGCCCCCTATTTTATTCCATGTGGTTTCCAATTCTTTCTCAAATTCTTCAACTTCCTCATCCACTTAAGCTACTGTTTTTTGGTAAATGGCCTAATTTCCTACTTCAAAGACAAGTTGATCGGCTTGAATTTTCTCAATTCCCCTCCCACTCCTGCCACACACACTCTCTTTGTTTAATCTGTAGCGATTCCCCCATATCAGCTACCATTTTCTCGGGGTAAGCAGTGTCCTTTTCCCGTCCTAACAGTGAGCCTGTGCTGCTGGTCCTGTCTCCCTAGGACTCTAGCTTCTCTACTCTCTCGTCTTCAATTTCTCCTCTACTTGCTGTCTTCCTTTTCCTACAAACATGCTTAAATCTAAAATCTCCTCATCCTAAAAATAGAAACAATAAAAGGGAACCCTTTCCTGAATCAGCTTTTGCCTTAAACCACCACACTATTTCCTTTCTCCCCTTCACCGTCAAACTGCCCAAGAAATTAAATCTACACTTGCTCCTTTATGTTACTGCCTATTCCCGCCTGCCAGATTGTTTGTTGATTAGTAGGTTTTCCCACCTACCAATCCGTCTCATCAGTTAAATTGATACCCTCCTCCATATCCCTTTTTAGCTCTCCTCATCTCTGTAACAAACTCTATGAATGTCTCCCAGCCGCCTGTTTCTACTCTAGCCCAGCTTCCACACAAATATCTTTATAAATACAAATCTGACCCTGTGGCCCCTCTGCATATTCACCTGGTAAAGTCCAGACTACTTAGCCTTGCACATAAGGCCCTTCGCAATCTGGCAACACTGCTAATCTCTTACCACTCCCATCTCTGCTCTAACCTGTACTTGTTGTTTTTCCTAAAACATGCCATGCCCTTTCAAACCCCTGTATATTTATGCTCTCTACCTGTGTAGGGATTTCCTTCCCAGCACATTATCCTCCACATTCAACTCAAAAGTCACTCCATGTATGAAGTCTCCCTTATCCATTCTTAGATTATTTTTTATTATTAAAATAGAGATGAGGTCTCACTATGTTGCCCAGGTTGGTCTCAAAATCCCGGGCTCAAGCATTCCTCCCACCCTGGCCTCCCACAGTGCTGGCTGCCACACCCAGCCTTCTGTCTGAGATTGTCACTTATTAAGGGACATTCTTCCCATCTTTAGTTTTACCTTTTAGAAGAAGAGGCTGGTATCCTCTAGTAAGTTAGTTCTGTAACAAGCATGAAAGATGATCCTCAGTCCTCTGACAAAGACAGGTCAGATCAGGCGAAACAGGTGTTTGGTTTGAGCTGTCAACCTAATTCACTGGCCACTCAAGCACCCATATAATGATTATTAATGTAAATTGGTTCCACAAATAGTATAGTCCTCTGGTTCAGTGATTTTCAGTCAAGGATAGCATTTGATGGGTGTTGGGTCCTGTTAAACCTACAATGTGCATGATAAAGACTTTTCCCCACCAAGAATAATAATAATTCCATAGAAGGGTATATTTTAGAAATGAGAAATTTCCCCTTTTTGGCCTTATTCTAGAGTTCCTAATAAATAACTCCCTCCAGTCTAAGGTCAAGCCAATTCTCAATTTTTCAGGAGCTTTTTGTAGACTCTTTTAGCTCTCTATTTCTCTTTCAGCTTTCTGCTCATATTTGGGCCACTTCACAGCTTGCCAGCACCTTCCCAAAGAGTGGGAGGAACTCAAATCAGTGGTGAAAGCTAAATCCTTTCAGATTTTCTTCAGGTTCTGGAATTTTTTGGTGATAATTAAATTTTGAGACTAGATGTGGATTTCAACCCAGTCTAATTACTTCATTTCTTTAGGGAAGCAGAGATTAAAAGCTGCAGTATACATGTAATGTACATATCACCCATATAGATATACATATTGATTTATTCTTTTTTAAAAAAATAGGAAGTGAAGCTAAACCATGAAGCCTAAAATAATAAACCCAGGGCCCAAAGTGAGACAAAGATAGAAATAGCTTAATTCTTTGAACTAACACCCTTGCATTTTGTCCAGCCAACTTAGCTGTTTAATCTCTATGTTTTAGACTGAGTTTCATTGACTTTCCCCTTCTTTTGAAAAATTTAAGTCCCAGGGATATACGGTTCTTTGAAACCCCAGGGTTATCTGACAAATGACTGTATTCCACATACAGAAAGTAGTTTTCATATAAAAAGCACAATGTTTTTCCTATCAACTTATTCTGTTATTTATGTCATTTTAAAATTCATTGAAATAATTTAGAGGCATAAACAAAATAAATGTGGATAAAATATGGAGAAAGGCTTCCATTCTCTGGAAAATACTGATTTGACCCAAAGTGCAGTGAAATAAGAAACACTGTCATTTTTTGTTTTTAAGACAGAATCTTTCTCCCTTGGCCCAGGCTGGAGTGCAGTGGCACAATCTTGGCTCACTACAGCCTCAAACTCCTGGACTCAAGCAATCCTTCCACCTCAGCCTCCTGTGTACTAGGATTACAGGCACAAGCCACTATGCCCAGCTTTTTTTTTTTGAGATGGAGTCTCGCTGTGTCGCCCAGGCTGGGGTGCAGTGACGCGATCTCGACTCACTGCATGCTCCGCCTCCCGGGTTCACACCATTCTCCTGCCTCAGCCTCCTGAGCAGCTGGGACTACAGGCGTCCGCCACCACACCCAGCTAATGTTTTGTATTTTTAGTAGAGATGGGGTTTCACCATGTTAGCCAGGATGGTCTCCATCTCCTGACCTCATGATCTGCCCGCCTTGGCCTCCCAAAGTGCTGGGACTACAGGCGTGAGCCACTGTGCCCTGCCTTTGTTGTTGTTGTTGTTGTTGTTTTTTAAGAGATGAAGTCTTACTATGTTGCCCAGGCTGGTCTTGAACTCCTGGGCTCAAGTGGTCTGCCCGCTTCAACCTCCCACAACACTGGGATTACAGGTGTGAGCCACTGTGCCTGCCCCAACTGTAGTTTGAAGCAGATTTGTGTACTAATGTTTAAAGGCTTCCATAAAATTTAAAATGTATAGAAACTAGGAAATTCTGCATTTCTTGATATGGTTCTCTTTCTTTTTTGTTTGTTTTGTTTTGTTTTTTTTGAGACGGAGTCTCGCACTGTCACCCAGGCTGGAGTGCAATGGTGCGATCTCCACTAGCTGCAACCTCCGCCTCCCAGGTTCAAGCAATTCTCCTGCCTCAGCCTCCCAAGTAGCTGGGATTACAGGTGCCCGCCACCATGCCTGGCTCATTTTTTGTATTTTTAATAGAGACGGGGTTTCACTATGTTGGCCAGGCTGGTCTTAAACTCTTGACCTCGTGATCCACCCGCCTCGGCCTCCCAAAGTGCTGGGATTACAGGCGTGAGTCACTGCGCCTGGCAGTTCTCTTTCAATAATGGAATTTAAGTATATAAATGTACAGGTTTAACTAAATCAAACAATTAAAAGAGACATCCAATTATTATTTTAAAGAATAGTAAGCATTCTGGTAATATAAATTATCATCTCAGGTTCCCTGTATCAGAGTTAATACAGGACAATGAGCTAGAAGAGGACAGTTTGGGGAAACAAAAATTTGTTTTTCCTACCAATAGCTCTGGAGACTGACAGACTTCCATTCACCCTCCAGGCACCAAACCAGACTACGCAACCTCCAAGGGCCTCAATTCGCTGCTTTTCATCCTAAACAGCAATGCAATAAAAAGAAGCAAATAACTGGATTCAGGATTTATTCCTTTACTTCAACAGTAAACAACAGATATAATACTCATCAGCTCATGAAAAGGTTCTCCTTGTTTCTCCATTGGAGGGTGAGCACAGTTGCTGATGTAATAGCAATAACTGTAATAATTAAGGGAATCCTGGCCGGGTGCGGTGGCTTACGCCTGTAATCCCAGCACTTCAGGAGGCCGAAGCGGATGGATCACCTGAGGTCAGGAGTTCAAGATCAGCCTGGCCAACATGGTGAAGCCCCGTCTCTACTAAAAATATAAAAATTAGTCAGGCATGGTGGCGCAAGCCTGTAGTCCCAGCTACTCAGGCGGCTGAGGCAGGAGAATCACCTGAACCCAGGAGGCAGAGGTTGCAGTGAGCCAAGATCATGCCATTGCACTCCAGCCTGAGCAACAGAGCGAGACTCCGTCTCAAAAAAAATAAATAAATAGTAAGTGAATCCTAATCAATAACTAGAAAATCTAAAGTAATAACTAGAGCATGGGCTCTATTAAAACAGACCATACTTACCTCTCTGTCTGGTTTATGTGGCTTCATTAGTTCAACAGCTTGACCCTTTCTCACAAGCATAACCTGGGAATCACCCACCCAGGCCACATGTAGCATGTTGCCTCTGATGAAAGTCACCACTCCTGTGGTCCCACATCTTAAGCTCTGAAAATAGTTTAAATAAAACTAGACTCAGTGAAAAGAAATAGATACAACATTCTTATTGAGAAGCAATTTATAATTAATATAAGCTTTTCAGCTGGGAGCTATACTATTAATAATGGAATTTCACACATATACAATAATTCATTGTCTCAATGCATTTTTATATGCATGTATGTATTTATATATATATACACACATAAGTCCACCTGATCTGTGATATGCAGTGCAGGGATGATTATTAATTCTACTTTAAATACAGATAAGAAAACTATGGCAGGTTATGTGACTTGCCCAAGGGCAGGTAACTATTAGTACATAAAACAGAATTGAAATTATTTTTCCTCCCAGTCAAGCACCAAATCCTCTATACCAATCCTCAGAGTAAAAATTCTGCTCTCCATTTCATTACTGACATCGTATTTGTTCAGTGGGAGAGTTCTAGCTGTACGAAATGATATATAAAGCATGATTGGTACACAACAGATGCTCTAATCTCTGGAAATTAAGCTAAGGAGCCAAGAGACAGCTTACGTTCCCTGGAGTACTAAGATGCTTATACCTTTAAAAAATATCCTCCCGACAGTATTTTTAGAGGCCTTTGCTTTTGGAACATTGCATAAAGAACTAACAGCCTGGAATTTCACTGCAGTAGCTACCACTGTACTTAAAGCTCTTGATCCTACTATACGAAAATGACATCCCCATTTGACATGAGTCACCACCAAATGAGCATGACTTTCTGTTACTAAGGACCTGGCCTAAATTAGAACCAATGCGTCAGGGGTGGTAAAAGGCCTCTTGTATCCAATGAGAAAAACAACTTCTCATTTCCCCTATATAGGGAAAGTTTGTTATAAATCCTCACCCACCAATAAAATATCTTCCCACACAGAATGTTCAAAAACTCAGCCCCCTAGAACACATGATAAACACACTTCAGTGCATATGCCCTGGAGAGAACAGGAGGCAGGGCTGCTTCACAACAGGAATAGCTGCTTTCTTCCCAGTGGTTAGCGGCACACGGAAGCATAAGAAGGAGAAAAGGGGCTGCTGAGACAAACCTAAATTATTCAGAACTATTGACAGAACTGAGAGACGCCAGGGTCATTGACAAAACAAATGAGGTAAACATGGTCAGAAAAAAAAAACAAACAAAAAAAAACCAATTTTGAGAAGACAGAGGAAAAAGAATAGAATAGAGGATAAAGAAGACAGAGTGATTCTCTTTGTTTCATATTGGTGATTACAGGTCACCTCTCAGGGGCCCGCCGTTGTCCTCAAATCAGATAATAAAAGCCTGCAGCTTCAAGAGAGGCAGAGCCAAGCAGAACACAGGTCCTCAAGAGACTGGGAGCTCTGAGGTCAAGAGCAGCTTTATTCTCCAGCACCACCTCTTTGTGTGGACTCTACTGGTTACTGTTGGATTTGCATATTAATCCAAATTTAGGGGAGGGGAGAGATTAAGAATAATTCTCTTTCTTAATACCAAATAGGTCTGAATTATTGTTTCATTAATTCCAAGCCCCATTATTGCTTGTAGCATAACTATGCTATCAAAAAAATGGATTAAATGATTACCCTGATCTCTTCAAGCCTATTTTAAAAAGAGTTAATGTGCCGGGCGCGGTGGCTCACGCCTGTAATCCCAACACTTTGGGAGGTCGAGGCGGGTGGATCACGAGGTCAGGAGATCGAGACCATCCTGGCTAACATGGTGAAACCCT